CTTCCTCTGAGGCAGAAATGTTTGCCGGTGAGAAGGTCCAGTCATAAATGGAACACATTATTTTAGGCTCTTTTCTTTTTTAGTAGCAACACTAAACTAAGCTGATATATTTTAGATTTGAGAAATCTGTCACATGACCTTTGTAAGCACTACTTGTTCTGTTGGTTGCAATGTAAGATTTAATTGTGGATAAGATGTGGATAAACTTTTTTAGCATGACTTCTGTACCATAGACAGTATGTTATAAACAGCTAATACCCATTTATTTCCAATGAGAGGAAAAAAGTCACTGTATACCAACATTGGAGGGATTCTTTTTTTTAGGTCTGCAAAGAAAAAAATCTGTGAGTTTCTCAGAATAATCTTAAAAATCTCCCCCACCCCCCATTATTTGAAAATAGATGGCCAAGATGTTTTCTGAGACCTCAAATACCCTCCTGATAGACTAGTGAGTTGGCAGGGAATAGTACTTCTTTGATAACTGACAGATTATTATAATAAGTATAGTTAATTACCCTTAGATTTGAACTATAGTTTTTTATGGGCTTTTGTAAATTTGGCTGTTGATCATATTATGTTTAATAGTTTAAATTTCCAAAAGTCATGTAAGAATGTCAGAAAACAGCCTAGCCAATTCTTGCCTAGTGTCTTAGGCTGCCTACCACGTGCCAGTGACATAAGGAAACAAAACAAAACTTAGACTCTCTGGTGAAAGGTAGAGCAGGCAAGCATTTATCAGGGAGAACAGTGGGTTGGCACAACAGTGAAAAAAAATGAATGCCATGACTAACTAATGTGTGCCCGCTAACATCAAACTCAGGTAACTTCTTATTCCTCTGGGCTCTTGGTTCATATTATTTTTATGGCCTTATTTATGTCTTATCCTAGCCAGTACTGTTAGTTTATATTATGAATCTTTTTCCCTTCACTTGATTTAAAATTTTTAGAGTTAGAAGTATGTCTTACTAATACTGCATTCTCAGTACCTCATATGATTTTTTAGACCATTATTAATAGGATAAATTCTAAGTGCCAAAGTGCTGATTCTTGCACACAGGTAAATAATAGCTAATGTTTATTGAGAACTTATCTTATGCCAGTCTTTATTCTAATAACTTGATAAAGCTTTAACTTACTTAATCTTCATAATAACCCTTATAAGCTGGAAAGAGTTCTTTTCGTTGCTCTACATAGTAGATACAGAGGAATAGAGAAGTTTTGCCCAGGGTTGCACCATGAGGAGATGACCAAATTGGAATTTAGATCCAAATAGTCTGGCTCCAGAACTTGATATTACAGCCTTTTTATTGTGCTGTAGTGTAGTGTGTTGCTGTTCATGGTTTCTCTTTTTTGTTTTTGTTAATGATTTTTTAACATGTAGGTGTGGACTAATTTAATACCAAAAATGAAAACAAGTAGAATTTCATTTATTACTGAGTTATATTTTTCTTTTGTACTGTTAAGTTTTAAAATCTAATAGGGCCCCAGATATATTTCAGCTCTTTTCATTTTTGAAGTTATCAAGAAAATTGAATGCAGTGATTATTTTTCTTTTTGTGGAAGCTGATTTGCCGTGGTTTTTTATTTGAAAAGTTTGTTTTCTTTCTCTATATATTTTTCTTTGTGGCTGAGCCTTGCGATCCCAGTTCCCCAACCAGAGATTGAATCTGCATCCCTTGCAGTGGAAGTATGGAGTCTTAACCACCGGTTCACCATGAACTAACTCCCTGGTTGACTGTTTCTGTTGATTCCCCCTGACCCATTAGTTTTGGGTCGCAAAACTGCTTCTTCACAAGACTAGTAATTTTTATTAGATGCTGGACATTGACTGCCATTTTGTTGTGTGCTGAATTTTGTCTTTAAAGACCGTTGAAATTTGTTTTGCTAGGCAGTTACGTGTGGATCAATTTGTTCGTAAGCTTTGTTAGGCTGGGTCTGGAATAGCCTTTATTGAAGGCCTGGTTTAGCCATAATACGAAGATGTGATCCTTTTGGAATTCTTTCTAAATGTCCTGGGTGTTCAGTGAGACCTTTCCATTTAAGCCAGTTGGCACTCAGGTTTTTCCTAGCCCTCTGTAAACTCTCGGTATTGTTCACCTTACAGCTTCATGGTAGTGCCCCTGGCGCCCTCCAGCCCCCCCCCACCTTATTTTTACCTTTGTGGACTTTGTCACCTTAACCCCTGTGCCTTCGTTTTTCATCACACCTAAGTGAAAACACCATGTGGATTTCTAGAGGTCTTACTCTGCATAGTCCCCTCTTTCCCAGGACTGCTTTGCATATTCCAGTTGTCTTAGCTTCCTCCAACTTGGATCTCTGCCTTTTTAACAGTGTGACTATTTTGCTCTGCCTGAGATCTGCTCTGCTGCCTGAGATGTGCCTTTAGGTGGTAGGCTTGGGCAGTAGTAGGCTCAGGTTTCTCTCAAAAAATAAAAAGGTAAGTCCAAGATTGATTACTTAGTCATAGCCTAACACTTCTTTAGTGTTAAGTCATGGCAAAATGACTTGGAACACTAATATGGAGCTTTCTGTGACGAAGGAAATGTTCTCTTTCTGTGCTGTCCATTCAGTAGCCTCTTGCCCCACTTGGCTAATGAGTACTTGAAACTGGCTAATAGCACTTGAAAGTGGCTAGGGCAGCTGAGGAGCGGCGTTGTTTTCCCACTTTATTTATTTATTTGGCTGTGTGGCTTGCAGGATATTAGCTCTCCAATCAGGGATCAAACCTGGGCCCCCTGCAGTGCAAGCATGGAGTCCTAATCTTTGGACCACAAGGGAATTCTGAATTTTTTAATTAGTTTAAATATAATAGCTGTGTAAACTGGGGTGGCCAAAAGATTTGTTTGTTTTTTTTCCTATATGATGGCTCTAGTAGCTTTAGTTGCCTTTAACTTCATTTGAAACAGTTTTGTTAGATTGTGTTGTGACAGCTGGTCATATCAGTGAGCACTTAAAAAAAAAATCAAAATTGAATTTTTGTGTAGCCATTTTAATATTGAAGGTGAAGGAAAAAACCAACATTTTTGGCATGTTACGTTTCATTTCAAGAAAGGGTAAAAAGTGAAATGCAAGAAAAAAGGTTTGTGCAGTGTTTGGAGAAGATGCTGAGACTGAATGTGTCAGAAGTGGTTTGCAGAGTTATGTCCTGGAAATTTCTGTTGGGTGATGCTCCATGGTCAGGTGGCCAGTTGAAGTTGATAGCGATCAAATCAAGACATTAATTGAGAACAGTCAGTGTTATTCCACATGGGACATAGCCGACATACCCAGAATATCCAAATCAAGCGTTAAGAATAATTTGTTCCTGCTTGGTTATGTTAATTGTTTTGATGTTTGGGTTCCACATAAGTTAAGTGAAAAAAACCTCTTGGCCGTTTCCTTGCATGCAGTTCTCTTCTGAAACATAAGGAAAACTTTTGGGTTATGAGAAGTAGATGTGGTACAGTAATGTGAAACAGAAGATCATGGGGCAAGCAACATGAACTACCAGTAACCACACCAAGGCTGGTCTTCCCCAAAGAAGGTGATTATGTGTGTATGGTGGAGTTGGAAGGGGGGTCTCCGTTACGAGCTCCTTCTGGAAGACCAAAGGATTAATTCCAGCAAGTACTGTTCCCAGTGAGACCAGTAACTGAAAGCAGTACTCGACGAAAAGCACCTGGAATTAGTCAACAGAAAATGTGTAATCTTCTATCAGGATAACAGCATGTTTCTTTGATGACCAGCCAGAAACTGTCACAGCTTGGCCAGCAAGTTCTGACTCGTCTGCCATATTCCCTAGACATTGCACCTTCAGATTTCCATTTATTTCAGTCTTTACAGAATTCTTTTAACGGAAAAAAATTCAATTCCCTGGAAGACTCTTACTGTAAGAGGCACCTGGAACAGTTCTTTGCTCTAAGAGATAAATTTGGAAAGATGCAATTATGAAGTTGCCTGAAAAATGACATATGGTAGTGGAACAAAATGGTGAATATGTTGTTCAGTAAAGTTCTTAGTAAAAATGAAAATGTGTCCTTTAATTTTCACTTAAACCAAAGGAACTTTTTGGGCAACCCAGAGTTGGACATGACTGAAGCGACTTAGCAGCAGCAGCAGTAGTTAATGACTGCTGTAGTAGACAGTAGTGCAGTGTTTTTTCTCAGTATTATGAAATTTCAGTCTTACAGCTTTCGTATATAATAATAAGTGCATGTGGTTGATCTCTGCCGTGTCCCAATTTAGAATCTTACTATAGTATTTTTTTCAAATTACCCAAATAGTTACATGTTCATTGGAGATTGATTTGAAAAATACAGAAAATACAAGAAAGAAAATTTGTCACATAAAATCCAAAAGATAATCAAGATTATTTTGATGTATTTCCTTCTAGTCTTCTATAAAGAAAATAATTGTTTTTGTGGAAAATATTTGATTTTTAGTGTTTCTGTCTTGAAAGGGAATGTGCATAGACAGCAAGATTGAAATGATGAAAATGATTTGTCCTTTTGTAATTAGCTTTATATTATTTGTCATTAAAGAACAACATTTGCCTAACAAGCTTTCATAGCTTTATAGGCCAGGTATATGTAGCAGTTTCAGGAATGACATACTCATCAGGAAACTTTTTAACTCTTTTCTCCCTTTGTTGCAGATTGGTGTTTAATAGGAAAGAAAGTTCATAGTTTGCTATTGGCTGCTTTTTGACAATAGCTAGAGAGAAGGCAAACATAATTTAATATTTGGCTTATTTCCACATTAGGGGAACTGGTTTGGAGACTTCTTTCAGTTCCGTCTTTTGAGTAACTGTTGTGCCTGAAAATGATTTGCCAGGTGCTTAGAAACCAAAGGCCTTGGCCCTCAAGGGGTTCATGGTTTAGTTGGCAATTAAACAACTGGATTTTCTTCTGTTTCTCTGGAGGAAAAAATGTCAGATGTTACTGTTCATTTTAATGATACAGAATTTAATAAAATTAGCAGCTAATACCTGTCCTTTCTAACTTCTGGAATCTTTTGTTTAGGTGAGACATGGAATCCATTAAAATTGCATTATCAGTTAAGAAACGTGCGGGAACGATTAGCTAAAAACCTGGTAGAAAAGGGCGTGCTGACCACAGAGAAACAGAACTTCCTCCTCTTTGACATGACGACGCACCCCCTCACCAACAACAGCATTAAGCAGCGCCTCATCAAGAAGGTGCAGGAAGCCGTTCTCGACAAGTGGGTGAACGACCCTCACCGCATGGACAAGCGCCTGCTGGCCCTCGTCTACCTGGCCCACGCCTCCGACGTCCTGGAGAACGCGTTCGCGCCCCTGCTGGACGAGCAGTACGACGTGGCCACCAAGCGGGTGCGGCAGCTCCTGGACGTGGACCCTGAGGTGGAGTGTCTGAAGGCCGGGACCAACGAGGTGCTGTGGGCGGTGGTGGCGGCCTTCACCAAGTGAGCCTGCCCCTAGCCACGCGTCCCCCTTTCTCTCCCGGGAACCAGTCGTTTTTCTTCTTGGACTTCTGGTTTTCTGCAGTTTGTACTTCCCACACTGTAATTGGCTTCTGTTTCATGAAATGGTGGGTGGCTTTTTCTTTTCTGTATGTATGCAGGATTCTGCTGGTACGAGAGGCCTTCCTCTTTCTGTTTTGAAAAAAGTTTTACTGCCATATTGGCATTCCATTCCTTGTTGCCATCCTCACTGTTCCCCTTTCGGGTTTCTGGTATGCTTTGACTTTGAAAGTACCACCAGTCTCCTCGCCTGCACATCTTTTGGATTACCTCAGGCTGAGTTTTTCCTGTATGTGCGTGTCCATCTAATGTTCTGCCTGCAATTCAGACAGAAGTCACAAAATGGCCTTTAACTCACCAAAGGTAAATATCTGTATCTATTGGGACATTTTATACATAGACCTCAGTTGAGATGTATACTTAGCAAATTATTTTTAAATTGAAATACACAGTAAATAATATAAAGTGCCCCTTGATTTTGCTTCCCATGTAAATCTGTTGTATTATTACACTTGTTATAATTTTAACTATTAAGTCATAAAGGTCCAGTTGTTTCACACAGCCAGTTTGGGATGAGCTGCATTCCAGTTATGCTGTATATAGTTTGAAGTATATATAAATTGTTCCTTCTTCTGGCCACCCCTGCCCATCTTAGTATTTTGCAGGATTTAATTGGTTGTACACCTGGTGCCCCTTACTTGCTACAGTCATTATAATTTGGTGGCAAAACAGACCTCATCATTCAGGAGAGAAAAGAGGTATGTCTTAATTGGTCCCAACATTTTTTTGAACTGTGCCATTCATGGTACTCTTTGCCTATGCATCTCCATTTTGGATTTTTTTTTTTTTTTTTGGTCTTACTATTTTTATCATTTCTATAGAGAAGAGGCTTGTGACCAGTACTAATCTTGAGTACAGTTTTATCTTTTTCTGTCCACAGGTAAATTAATGTCTGCTCTTAATTATCTACTCACACTTTCTTGGGGGAAAACAATCAAATGTCAGTACTAGCAGATGTTGCATGTAAATCGTTAGCAAGTAATGACTACAACTCAGATGATTAAGAATTTTGTAACAGAAAGCTCTGCTATGTTTTAATTTTTATATACAATTATGATAATTAGCACATTCTAAGAATATAAACCTTCGCTTTTTAAAGTTTATTTTTACTATTTCTTTATCACTGTTTATTGGATCACCATTGGTTTCATAATGTAAATACTCTATATTGAACAAATTAAATGTCAAATTTTTTATTACCATAGTTCATGTTACTAGTGGGGCTTTCAGGTGTTTAGAGATTTTTTTGGTTAACATTCAATGCAAAAGTACTAGATGGTGTATAACTCTAGAGTTGAGTTTTAAGGGATTCCCTAATATGTATACTATCTTTTTATCTGAAGTAATAAATAAACTATGATCTTGAAAGTGCCTGAATCAGAGCAAGCATGTTATTTGTATTTTTGTATTCTCATTTTTGTGGTCTTAGAGTTCTTTCTGAAGAAGTTTTACTTAGCCTTAGTATAGTGTGGCAATATTTCTACAAGGGGTTGGCAAACTTTTTCTTATTGGTTCAGATAGTAAATATTGATATTTTAGGCTTTGTGAGCCATATATAGTGTTGCAGCTACTCAACTCTGAGTGAAAGTTGCTGTAGACAGTACAGATAAATGGGTAAGGCTATAGTCTAGTAAAACCTCATTTACAAAAACAGGCAGCTGGCCATGAGCAATGGTTTACCAATCCCTATTTTAATTCACGAAAAAAGTCAGATTTTTCTGTCCATTAAAATAACCTCTTTTACCTCCAAATGATACTATTGGTGGTGATTAAGTATAGAAAGTATTAATTTATTGTTTCTTCCCATAAAATGGATACTTGAAACTTACACCATGTCCTGGAATTTCTTTTTAGGTGAACATTTACGTTTTTATCCTGAAAAGATTTTAAAAGTGAGGTACTGGATGTTTCTGAGGTCTTCTTGACTTCTGCAGCAGCATCTGTATTCTCACGCAAGGAGAAAGGGCTCACCTGTACTCCCATCAGTTTTTGATTCAGAGCAGAGTGCCCCTCAGCTCTGCCTGTGTGTGACCCCAACTTCAGTATTCATTTGTGTCTCCAGAGGAGAGGGTGTCATCTAGAACTCAGTTCTTCCACAGAAGGCTGCTGCTTCCAGCTCTCTGTTAGCAGGATTGGTGTGACTCCAGGGACCATGTTCTGTGTGGAAGGTGCAGTGTGTCCACAGGTTTATGCCACTTGGTAAAAAACCTTCAGATCCAAGAATCGGGGAGAGAGTTTTAATATAGTAAAACTTAAATAGAGATCTATTGTGCAAAGAATTTGCTGCATTTTGACTTCTTCATATGTTATTTAATTACTGAGTGTTCCTTAGAATAACCTGGTCTACATTACAGTATACTAACACATATATATGGAATTTAGAAAGATGGTAACGATAACCCTATATGCAAAACAGAAAAAGAGACTCCGATGTATAGAACAGACTTGTGGACTCTGGGAGAAGGCGAGGGTGGGATGTTTCAAGAGAACAGCATCGAAACACGTATATTATCTAGGGTGAAACAGATCACCAGCCCAGGTTGGGTGCATGAGACAAATGCTCGGGCCTGGTGCACTGGGAAGACCCAGAGGGATCCGGTGGAGAGGGAGGTGGGAGGGGGGACCGGGATGGGGAATACATGTAAATCCATGGCTAATTCATTTCAATGTATGACAAAAACCACTGCAATGATGTAAAGTAATTAGCCTCCAACTAATAAAAATAAATGAAAAAAAAAAAAAGAATAACCTGGTCTAGAACAGTGCTGTAACAAAAAGGAGAAAGGAAACTTAATGCATGCTCTATGCCTAGTGAGGGATTTTATATCTTGTTATGACCTCCCCAAACTGCAGTAACTGTCTCATTTAATGAAGAGCAGGCTTGGAGAGCAGGGGTTGCCCAGTCTCACATTATCTGGTAAGTGTTTGAGCTTTTTAATCCTGAAGTAATTGAAAACATAATTGCATTCAACCATAATTTTTCCTTTCTTGTTCGGGACTGGGAGGGGGCTTCTTTCTCCAACAGAAACAAAACAAGAATAGTGGGCATGCAAGAAGATCTCATGGTGGTGCAAAAGACAGTGATAAATGGATATCCCTACTTTATTCTGATATCTTGGTATAACTTACATGGGTTAATCTTTCAGGGATGAAAAAGTTGACTGTATGTTCTCAGAAGAAAGCATCATCATCAAATGTCAGTTGGCCAAAAAAGCCCTGGCCTGCCGAATGAAGCAGGATTGGCTTGCGACTTCTGTTGCATTCTGCTACTCAGTTCTTCCCATTATTTGTGAACAGTAGGACAAACCTTTGAATTTGGCCACCACTTGAAGGGAAGCGAGAGCAGCTGGTGTGCAATTCAGTGGCAACGTAGGACCAGTGAGTGATGATGTCCAGCCTGATGATGACAAGGATCCATGACTGCCACGCATGGCTACTCTTGGCTCAGGAATGTGGAAGCCACCATTCACAAGTCTCTGTGAGATATTTACGAAGTTTAATCCCAACTCGATGGCCTCCATCTTAAATATGAATACTTAGGCTGTCAGATAGCATTGTTCTGTTTCGCTTTCATCCAGAACAAGATGACTGACAGCTGGAGGTAACTTCCAATTCATTGCAGCCCACTGGGTCCCAGAGTGATATCCTGGCTCCTGTAACTTTTGTGCAAATGTCACATAGTCTTTAGTAGCATCAAGTAGGGGTATTAATGTTTATAACCTTGCAGGCTACTCTTGAGAGAGGTATAGATGGTAAAGTTAAATTGATATCCACACTTCCTCAGCCCAGTGTTAGAATTATGTAGGCATTCACTCTTGCAGAGCAGTTGTGTGCTGATTCCCACTAGCATCATATACTGCTGTGCAATTTACTTTTTGCACTTATTTTACAGAGAACTTTAAGATAAGCACACATCTTTCTTTTCAGTCGTTTTTGGCTTCATGTATAACTTCTCCCATTAGTGGATATTTGGATTGTTCTCATATTTACTGTTCTAAGCAGTATTGTAAACATATATTTTCGTACATATTTTTATATTTTATTTCCATGGGAGGAATTAACAGACGTGAGGTTTGCTCAAAGAGTTTGCTTGAAGATTTAAAAGATAAAGTTAAATTTTCTAAGATCTGTGTTAATTTCCACTTGAAATAATGTGCATGCTGGCTTCCCTACACCCTAGCTAATGCTGTAGAGGGTATCATCAGTCCTGGTCTTTGCCAAGGTAATAGTAGAGAAGAATGGTCAAATTATTTTAATTGTTGAAGGGTTGATTATTATTTACCACCATTATTGGTAATTTGTGTTCCTTTCCTATGAGTTACCTGTTCATGTTCTTTATTCGTTTTTATAATTTAGGATATTGATCTTTTTACATATTGGTTCACCAGGTTCACAGGACTTTCTGTGTATTATGGATATTAACCCCCTGTGTCTATGATGTATTTTCCCCAGTGTTTGGAGTTGCTATATATGGTAAGTTTTTTTTTTTTTTAACCATGTAGTAAATTGTAAGGTGCAGTGCTCAAGCATGGAATCTGTGGAGACTTTAATTATCATACTAAAGAGATCAGCATGGTATTAGGTTTGGGAATATATATACACATACATGACTTCCCTTGTGGCTCAGACAGTAAAGCGTCTGCCTGCAATGCAGGAGACCTGGGTTCAAGTCCTGGGTCAGGAGATCCCCTGGAGAAGGAAATGACAACCCACTCCAGTATTCTTGCCTGGAAAATTGCATGGACTGAGAAGACTGGTAGCCTACAGTCCATGGGGTCACAAAGAGTCAGACATGACTGAGTGACTTCATTTTACTTCATATACATAGATATAGATATAGATATAGATATATAGGAAAAATTTGGGGTGTGTGCTAAGTTGCTTCAG